TTCACCATGATGGCCTAGGAAACGCAACTTGCAAAAGTTAGGCCACTATGTTGAAATGGTCTAGAAACACACCAAATGAGTGTTAAGCGGTTTTTAGGCCATTTAGAACAGTGGACTCAAAAACTCTCAATTTGTCTCAAAAGTGAAGCTCGCAACAGGGTGCATCGTCCTTAATCAATTTCGAATTTTCTAGACTTTAAATTAATTTCCAGTCTATTTCATTATGATTTTCAGATTCAGCATATAATTCCACATCGAAACGACCTATTTACCGATTTTTGTATTTTTGGCTCAACTGGGTAGAGGAGCGGCTGACGACCTAGAGGTCGGGGGTTCAAACCCCGCCGGGGTCAAAATTTTTTTTTCTTGTTAGATCATTTTTAGGGGTTTTAGAAGGTCTAAGAACCTGGAAAACGCTATTTACCATGATGACCTAGAAAACTCAACTTGCAAAAGTTAGTTTAATAAAAAATATAAAATGGAAAAAAAAATTAAAAAAACTAGATTAAATTGCAATTTCACACCTCCACAAATCCATGAGCTTGAAAAATATCTTTTTCAAAGAATTCTTCTTTTTCTCATAGAAGAAGGAAAACTGACGCTGTCGTACACACCGCACAACGCGCAAATAGAGGAAGCCGAAGGCCACCGACGTGCGAGAGAGTATTAGAAAAGTGGAGACGGGTTAGAGAACGAGAGAGGTGCAATCGTAAATGTCTTTATGTCCCACGCGGGACGAGAGGAGGACAGCCTACACATCATTTGTGTTAAAAAGAAGAGAAAGTGGAGACGCAGGAAGAAAAGAAGGGGGAATTATATGTTATTTGTCATGTGACAGTGAAGAAGATGGATGACAGAGAGAATGAGGTCAATTAGATGAAAGAGATGAGAGAGAAGGGCTAATTTTCGGTTCTCCGACTCTCTATAACACCTAAAAACGTTCTAAAAAGAAAACAAAAAAATTTGACCAGGGTGGGATTTGAACCCCTGACCTCCAGATCGGCAGTCACGCCTCTACCCAGTTGAGCCAAAAATGCAAAACTCGGTAAATAGGTCATTTCGATGCAGAATTTTATGTTGGATCCGAAAATCATAGTTAAATAGGCTGCAAACAGTTTTTGAGCTCAAAAAATGCAAAATTTCATTCTATCGATGCACCGTGATGGTGGTCCCAAAATAGCTTATTTTTGTTTTCTATACTCTCTAAAACCTGTAAAAATGTTTTAGACAGAAAAC